TTCCTGCGTGAGCTGATCAGCAACTCATCCGACGCCTGCGACAAGATCCGCTATCAGAGCCTGACGGACGCATCCGTGCTCGGCGAAGACACGCACCTGCGCATCCGTGTGATCCCTGACAAGGCGAGCAAGACGTTGTGTCTGGAGGATAACGGCATCGGCATGACCAAGGCCGACCTTGTGAACAACCTGGGCACCATCGCCCGGTCCGGCACGAAGGCGTTCATGGAGGCGCTGGAGGCGGGCGGCGACATGAGCATGATTGGTCAGTTCGGCGTTGGTTTCTATTCGGCGTACCTCGTGGCCGACCGTGTGACGGTGGTGTCAAAGAACAATGCCGATGAGGCGTACGTGTGGGAGTCGTCTGCTGGCGGCACGTTCACCATCACACCCGCCCCGGACTGCGACCTCAAGCGTGGCACCCGCGTCACGCTGCACCTCAAGGAGGACCAGCAGGAGTACCTCGAGGAGCGCCGTCTCAAGGAGCTGATCAAGAAGCACTCCGAGTTCATCGGCTACGACATCGAGCTGATGGTGCAGAAGACGACCGAGAAGGAGGTGACCGACGAGGACGAGGAGGAGCCCAAGAAGAAGGATGAGGAGGGCGCCGAGGACGAGCCGAAGGTCGAGGAGGTCAAGGAGGACGAGGAAAAGAAGAAGAAGACTAAGAAGGTCAAGGAGGTGACGACCGAGTACGAGGTGCAGAACAAGCACAAGCCGCTGTGGACGCGCGACCCCAAGGACGTCACCAAGGAGGAGTACGCCTCCTTCTACAAGGCCATCTCCAACGACTGGGAGGACCCCCTGGTGACGAAGCACTTCTCGGTCGAGGGCCAGCTCGAGTTCCGCAGCATCCTTTTCGTGCCGAAGCGCGCGCCGTTTGACATGTTCGAGCCGAACAAGAAGCGCAACAACATCAAGCTGTACGTGCGCCGCGTGTTCATTATGGACAACTGTGAGGAGCTGTGCCCCGACTGGCTGGGCTTCGTCAAGGGCGTCGTGGACAGTGAAGACCTGCCGCTGAACATTTCGCGTGAGAACCTGCAGCAGAACAAGATCCTCAAGGTGATCCGGAAGAACATCGTCAAGAAGGCGCTTGAGCTTTTTGAGGAGATCGCCGAGAACAAGGAGGACTACAAGCAGTTCTACGAGCAGTTCAGCAAGAACCTGAAGCTCGGCATCCACGAGGACTCCGCGAACCGCAAGAAGCTGATGGAGCTGCTGCGTTTCCACAGCTCCGAGTCCGGCGAGGAGATGACGACGCTGAAGGACTACGTGACGCGCATGAAGGAGGGCCAAAAGGGGATTTACTACATCACCGGCGACAGCAAGAAGAAGCTGGAGTCGTCGCCGTTTATCGAGGAGGCCAGGCGCCGCGGCTTCGAGGTGCTTTTCATGACAGAGCCCATCGACGAGTACGTGATGCAGCAGGTGCGTGACTTCGAGGACAAGAAGTTCGCCTGCCTAACCAAGGAGGGCGTGCACTTCGAGGAAACGGAGGAGGAGAAGAAGCGGCGCGAGGAGGAGAAGGCGTCCTTCGAGAAGCTGTGCAAGTCCATGAAAGAGATCCTCGGTGACAAGGTTGAGAAGGTGCAGCTGTCGGAGCGCCTGG